ATCATTACAGAGATAACGTAAATGCAGGCGTGCCGTCAGTTTAGCATCTCAATAATTATAAATTTTCATCTTTTATGCAAAATATATTGAGTAGTGTTACTGATAGAGATTGTACTACTAGACTCATCCCTCCTTAAAGAAAAAAAAAAATGTACTAGAGTATCTCTCTTTAAAGCTACTTCTCAAATATTTATTATAATATAAAGGTCTTTGTTATGTTGAATATGGTAATATATATATATATATATATATTTGAAAACTGAATATGGTAATATATTTAAAATTATATTCTATTATTAAAGCTGAAATAAGGATTGGATATCTCTTTGTTTTTTTTTTTTTGAAGATAAAACATCACATACATTAAGAATAGAAAGAAAATAAACATTTTATGATAGAATCTCATACAATAAGACTAGCGTATTGGTAGGATGCTTGTGTTCTAGTGTGAGCACTTACATTCGCTTGTCTATTATATTTATTACTTTTTTTTTTATAAATGTAAAATATTTCTTTTTATTTGTTTTATGTTTTGACCACTTAAAATATTTATTTATTGGAGAACTTTATTTATATTCATAATATAGGATAAAACTCTGTTGTTGAATTGTTTGAATTATTTAATATTTTAACTGAAGGAAAATTATATAAATCATTTTAAATGGTTTATTTTAAAAGTCATATTTATTGACTTTTCGAATTGTGATTATCTATATGGATTGAAATTTAATGATTATGAACAACGTGGAGTAGACATTGCCACCGGTTCGGTTCTAACCGGAACTGAACCGTACTGTATACGAACTGAAATCGGATAGGAATCGGTGGTTCATTATTTTGAATCAGAACCGGCGGTTCAAGAACTGGTTAAGATTCACGTGAATGTTAAAATATGAACCGGAGCTGGCGGTTCCGATCCGGTTCGAATCGGATGCACAAAAAAATTGTAGCTTAAAATTTTTATAAAAAAAATTTATATCACTTGATTTGATTGTAGTTGATTTGATTTATAGTGAAGTGTATAAAGAAAAATTTATATCACTTTGATTTGATTGTAGTTCGAGTTTCGATTTATTAGTGAAGAGAAACTTTGACAAATAAGTACCTATAAGCTTATAAAAAAGTGATTGAAAATACCACATTCTTTTTGACTTTAATTGTATACAAAAAATGGTGACATGTGAATAGTTAACTTATATATAAAAAAAAAAACACTGTGTCAAGTGGTCATAAAAAAAAAGAGTGCCTGTGGTTGTAGACAGAGTGAAGTTTTTGATATGATTAGGTTGTTTTTTTATTTATTTTTGGTAAATTTAAAATATTCATTTTTTTGGTAAATAAGATTTTCATTTTCATTTTTAATCATTATTTATTTATTTATTTACTGTACATTTTACTAAACTTATTCAAAAAATATAGGTTGTATTTTTTCTGTTATCAAGGACATTTGGGGAAACTAATTCAAATGCAGAAACATATATAGAATATCGATTGAGTTGACTGATTTTTTATTTGCATAAACCAATCTATAATCATTAAACTCTCGTTCTCGCTATTCTCAGATCAACAGAATTCTGCTTCAGAATTTTCCATAGATGTGCCATTACTGTTTTTCTATTGCTTCCTATTTTCGCTTAATAGTTGGAACTTATCTAGGTTGTTTATTTGTTTTATTTTTCTTACATCCAACTTCCACATTCTTTCTCTAAATGCTCAATTTTTGTTCCACTGTCAGTTTAAATTTACTTTCGCAGTTGCTGATTTTTAAATAACTTTTTCCTTAAGCGTATTTGAAAATAATAATTTTCTAAACTCATTGTTTCATTTAATTTGGTATATGTCCATTTAGTAGTTTTCGTATATTTCAGTGGAATCTCAGCAAAAATTTGTTAAATTGAAGTGTAATGAATAGCTTCTAAGTGTTAGTTAATAGAAACTTATTTCTTTAAAAATTTATAATAATTTATTTAGTTCAATAAATTAAATATTTTAAAAATTATGTATTGTATTTATGAATTTGGAATTAGAATTTTATGCTATTTCTTCTAGAAAATTTGGCCGCGTGAAGTGGCCGCCGAACCGAATCGAACCGTACATTCAAAACCGTTCAGCTTCACCGGAATTGTGCCGAAACCGTGTCAGAACCAGAGCCAGAAAATTATTATTTATTTATGAATTTGGAATTAGAATTTTATTATTTTTTTAAAAATTTGCGTAATGCCGGAACCGAATCGAAACCGTAATTCAAACCGTCAGTTCACCGGAATTGTGCCGAACCGTGTCAGAACCAGAGCCAGAGATTCAAAGAGTCGGTTCCAGTTCAAAATTTTAAACATCTCGAACCGGTGGTTCAGTGAATCGAAATCGGCGGTTCACTGAACCGACGGTTCACTGAACCGACCATGCCTAGCGTGGAGACATTCCATGTCTAGGGTAGGCATGTGCCCGCCCTCAGATTAAAAAAAAAAAAAAAAAGTTCTCTGCTCTAAACGTCTTTCTTTCTAACCGTTCCCAGGAGCTTTTTTTTTTTTTTTTTCATTTTTTTTTGGATGTTTTTCATGTAACTTGTTGAACAACGATTAGTAAATGTTTTCATTGTAATTATATTTTCTATTCAAATAAATTATTATTATTATCAATTTATGAAAACTTGTAATTTCCAAATTAAAAGATTTATAATTAGAACTATAGTATTAAAACTTGAATAATGAATACATGTTGTATGTGAATTTTTCATATAATATTTTACGTCATTGTTTTTATTTAATATATTTATTAATTCCAATTTCCTCTATCCTAACTATATTTTCTGCCTTCGCCTCTTGTGAAATCTAATCTTATAAATCTGTGGCCTTTTGTTTAATCTCTCCGTTTCTCCAATTATTAAAATAAATTATGATATTTTTATTTTATTTAACAATACATGAAAAACAAACTATCATCCTACATTAAAAATGAATTATTTGATAGTATAAAAAATTATATAATTATTCAATACCTCCAAAAATGAGAACTGGAAAACGGTAATTTCTTTAACTTACCAGTTGTTCCTCAGTTAGCAATGCAGATTAAGCATGTGAGAAGAGTTCTAAGATTCGATTTTCACTAAATAACTATGATTAAGCCTCAAGTTGAGATCCAGAAATTGATAGTTTATAAAAAAAAAATTGTAATTTTTTTTAAAGATTATATATATTATCTTTGTATGGGCAATCAGTGGGCTCCAGACAAAAGAAAAAAAATGGTGGCAAATCTTTTAGTTTGTGGATCCTTATTCCATATACCATGAACTTGCTAAAGAAATGTCCACAGGTCACATTAATTGATAGAACCAAAACAAAGGAATCATCTATTCAACAACGATGCCGTTTACGATTTGTTTAATTATTTAGTATTATTCGATTCTCCCCATATCACTAACTTATGCGTTTTTCACGCGTAAGAATATTTTCCAATTTATGCCACTTATCTGTGTGTTTTGTATTTCATATTTAACCAACCAATTCTACGTATACGGTATTATGAATAGATTTCATGCAGACGCTTTTATTCATGTTCACTAATACAGTTTATAAAATTTGGCATAATCTAAAAACCGGTGAGGATGATGAAATTAGGGTTTGGATTTTGTGTTCCTCTTCCTTAACCATTTAACAAGTTAGTTAGAGAGAATACAAATGATTACAACAATCTTTAGTTAAGTACTGCCGTTTAGAGGAATTTTTTTTTATTTTGAATTTATTAGAGTTATTTGTAAATCTCATTATAGGTGCACATTTAATTATTAAACATACATAGAAACTGTTCAGATTATGTTTACAACTTTAAAAACTTAATCTACAGATATAATGTGAAGAACTCCTTATTTTCTTAGAACACGATATAGTCTGCTTTGGAACTTTCAATTATCAAATCACGAAGAATATTTGCCACTTTTTTAAAATTCTCCCAAATTGAGACAAAGAGAATATATTTTTTTTAAATTTCTAAATTTTTTTATTTTTTTATATTGTGATTGGCCACAACTAATATTTAATGATAATATTATCTATATAAAATATACAAATTTTTTGATAATAATTCAAAATTGTTTGGCTAAAAATTGTTTGCTTAAAAAGAAAAAAAAAATCTAAGTCTTATGTTCGTTAGTATTTTTTTTAAACTTTAATTTATTAATTTACAAGTAAATTATATAAAAATTTAGTAAATACATTAATAATCAATTTAAGTTCTCAAAATTTAATATCATGCTTAATTTTTATATTTAAAACTCAAATTCAAAATATATTAATTTGATTTTTGAAATCATTCCTATCTGGATTAAATTAATAAACCAATAACCTTTAAATTTTCAAATTATTATCAATTTATGACTAAATATAGGGATTAGTTATTATTATTAATAAAAAAATTTTGATATAAAATTACAAATTAAAAACTTTTCAAAGTATTTCAATAATAATAATAATAATTATCAAGTAATATTCACTTATATTCGAGCATAATTAGTAATAATGTATATATTTATCATATTGTGCTTCTAAAAAATTCAACTTATTATTTTTTGTTTCACAAAAGACCTTTTGGATTTACCGGTACCAAGTGGACACTTTTTATGAAATTACAATTGAGGAAACTTAATATTATATATAATGAAACTTGATTAAAATATTGTAGATTTACAATGTTATATTATTGCAAGCAATGCCATAATTTTCTTTATTACAAATCATTTTGATACTTACCATTGTTGAATTATATCAAGTAGGGTTTTTATTATTCATCTTAACAATTTTATCATTAATAATAATTAATAAAATAATAATTAAATCTCCATGCTCGAAGCGCTGTTTTTCGATTAATTTAAACTAAAAAGCAAAATAATGATATATTGGACATTTTATTTTGACATTAGTCCCAAAGTTACCATTTTAAGCAATTTTTACATCAACAAAATTGTCACTCTATATATATATACGCGTAGTGAGTAATAAAAATACTAAATAAATTTGTGTCATGTCCAATTTTATTTTCCTCTTCTTCATCCTCCCTTGCACGTTTGTTAGGTGCTATATAAAAAATTGTTAAGTACCATACTGAGTAAATCTACCTTATCACTTTGTTTGTTGTATATGAAGTAGTGTATATAAGTTTTGGCATTTCCAAGAAAAGTTGTACATGATTCAGTCTTGTTGCTGTCATATATGGAAGAGTCAGCTGCAACCAGAGTTGAAGAGAGAAAATGGGCAATAACGAGGGATGGGTTTTTGAAAGAGCTAAAGAAGGAAAGCTGTTTAGCAGCTCCAATGGTGGCAGTTTCAGTTCTGCAGTATCTCCTGCAAGTTGTATCGGTGATAATAGTAGGCCACCTTGGTGATCAGATTGCTCTCTCTAGTGTCGCCATTGCTACCTCTATTTCTAACGTTACTGGATTTAGTCTTCTTGTAAGTCTTTCATTTCTTTCCTTCTTCTTTTTCTGCTCAAATATATACTTTATTCTCTGAATCGGAAACTCACTTTTCTACTGTAATCAAGCAGTCAGGAATGGTGGGTGGGTTAGAAACTTTGTGCGGACAAGCTTATGGAGCAGAACAATATCACAAGCTTGGAACCTATACTTACACTGCTATTATCTGCCTGATCATAATTTGTCCTCCAATATGTTTACTTTGGATTTTCATGAACAGATTACTTCCTCTTATAGGCCAAGACCCTTTAGTTTCCAAGTTAGCTTGTACATACTCGATGTATCTAATCCCTGGATTATTAGCGAGTGCTGTACTTAAACCTTTAACTCGTTTTCTTCAAACACAAAGTTTAATTCTTCCAATGCTTTTAAGCTCTCTTTTCATTTTAATTTTCCACACAGCTGTGTGTTGGATTTTTGTGTATAAGGTAGAATTAGGATATAAGGGTGCAGCTTTAGCTTTTAGTTTATCAGTTTGGTTAAACATAGCATTACTTGGATTTTATGTAAAATTCTCTTCTGACTGTGAGAAAACTCGATCGCCTTTTTCGAAAGAGGTATTTTATGGTGCCGGAGAATTCTTTCGCCTTGGAGTTCCTTCTGCTGTAATGGTTTGGTATAATTAAATCTCTGTTTAATTTTTTAATCAAGAATTTTACATTTGTGAAAAAATTATGACTAATATTTTGTTCTGGTATACTTTTTCTTTATTGTTGTTTTAACAGTCTCAAATGGTGGTCAATGGAATTGCTAACTTTGCTTTCTGGGCTTTTACCAAATCCAAAGTTGGAGACTTCTGTGCTTTCTATCTGGTATGGTTATTTATTATCCCAGTATTTTGCATTAACAGTGAATTTTTTGTGTAATGATTCTAATTTCTCATATTTTTTGTAATTTTTTCCAGCCTTACAATTTCAACGTTGCACTTCACTATACCACATGGATTTGGAGCTGCAGCAAGGTGTTTCTTATATATTGTAACAGCATGTCAGTTACTTGGGCAGTTTTTATGTTAAAATCTCTCGTGACTGTGAGAAAACTTCGATCCGCCCTTTTTTTCGAAAGAGCGTGATTTTATGGCTGCCGGGAGAGATTCTGTTTCGCCGTTGGAAGTTCCCTTCTTTCGCGTGTAATTGTTTCGGTATAAGTTAAAGATCTCTTGTTTAAATTTTTTAATCAAGAATTTTACAATTTGTGAAAAGAATTATGGACTAATATTTTTGTTGCTGGTCATACTTTTTCTTTATTGTTGTCTTTACACAGTCTCCAACATGGTGGTCAAGCTGGAATTGCTGAGACTTTGCTTTTCGGGCTGTTCTACCAACATCAAAGTTGGAGGACTTCTGGTCTGCTTTCTATGCTGGTCATGGTTATTGATTATTCCCAGTGATTTTGCGATTAAACAGTTGGAATTTTTTGGTCGCTGTAATGATTTCTGAATTTCTCATATTTTGGGTTGAATTGTTTCCAGCCTTCCACGAATTTCAACGCTTTGCCAACTTCACTATACCACGAGTGGGATTGTGGCAGGGCTGCCGCAGGCAAGGCTGTTTCTCGTATACTACTATGATATATATAGCTATATATATATATATATATATAATATAGCATATATGTATATATGTATTCAGTTTATCCTTGTGTGGTTTCTAAATTTAATCAATTATTGGTGTTAACTTAATAGTCTATATATATATAGATATATGTATATATTATCATTTATCTTGTTGTTTCTAAAATTTAATAATTATGTGTTAATTAATAGTCTTTTTTTTTTTTTCCTTGTAGTACAAGAGTTTCTAATGAACTAGGAGCTGGAAATCCACAGCTAGCAAGATTAGCTGTTTTGGCTGCGATTAGTGTTGCTGGAGCAGAGGCAATTATTATAAGCACCCTCATTTTCAGTTGCCGACATATCTTAGGATATGCTTACAGCAATGACAAACAAGTTGTCAGTTACATCTCAATCATGGCTCCTCTTATTTCACTCTCTGTTATTATGGACAGTTTACAAGCAGTCCTTTCTGGTTAGTTCAACTTTTTTTTTTTTTCATTTTTCAGTTCTTTTTTCTTGTACTTGGAGTAATCTCGCTCTGCTTAGTTTTCTCTGTATATTGGGCAGAATAGTTGACATTCACTGTTTTATGAAGGAACTCTGAATTATCCTTTTTGGTACATAGGTCAGTTTATTATAAGTTTTTAGTTCTTATATGGCGAAACGACAAGAATGGAACTTAGAGATGCTAATGGATCGGATTCGGGTTGGATTTTACAATATCCATACTTGACTTGGTAACATAAAATTACATTCATCAGATATCTGCTCATCATTAGATTGAATCGGTTTGGGTCATATCCGGTTAATATACTTAAAATATTTAAAGGATTCAGGTTGACTCGGATCGAATTGGTAGATATCCGTATTCACTTTAATTATAAATAATGTTATTCCACGTTAATTTAATATGAGATCTTTATCCAAAATATAAGATTTGGATAATTCTCCTCCACTTAATTTAACTTTTGGAAGTGAGTTAGGTCCAAACTATTTTAAGACTCAGCTTCTCTACGTCAGGTGTATTTTTTTCATTTAGAGATTCAAACTTGGATCTATCAAACAACAAATTATATGCCAATTTTCAGGTGTTGCCAGAGGGTGTGGGTGGCAGCATATAGGAGCTTACATTAATCTAGGTGCATTTTACCTAGTTGGGCTTCCAGTTGGGGCTGTGCTTGGTTTTGTAGCCCATTTAAGAGGAAAAGGGCTTTGGATTGGAATAGTAGCTGGATCAATTCTGCAATCAACTCTTCTCTCTCTTATCACTGCATCCACGGATTGGAAAAAACAGGTTTTTGATTCTATTTTCTCTGTCTTCATTTTTTTTTTTTTTAACATAATCCGTATCTATTACTTAATTTGTTTCAGATCAAAAAAATTTAAATTGTATTTAATTACAGGTAAGCATTGCAAGGGAGAGGATATCGAAGAAATCTTCTACTGAGAATGATGAAACTTGAGTGATAGTAAATTTATTATATTGTATGTTTGGAATATTTAATTTTTTTTAAAATAAGAAATTGAATTAATGATAATTCGATAATTTCTTTATAAGCATTATAAATTCACAGTTGAATAAAATTTTCCTAGTCTCAAAGAATTATAAATAAAATAATTTTCCTGACAATTGAACTAAAACTATTTCAGAATTTTTGATCCTCGTAATCATTTCCAAGATAAGATCATAATTTCCTGGGGTCGGATTGATCCTGATTCTATTTTCCATTAAATTTTAACCGAAACTGATCTAAAATTACCGGTTAAATGGATAATTAATTTGGTCCAATTCTAATTCATTTAACTCTCTTTATTTTAATTTAATTCAAGCTCATATTTTTTTTAAATGAAATTTTATTTATAAATTTAGAAATTCGGTAAATTTATCAATTACACATTTTTTATAATTGATTTTGTAATTATTCGCAATTTGTAAATTTAATAAAAAAAATTTCCGATCAAATTTTCTACTAATTTATTTATTTAATAAAATTTGTAAAGTTTACCATTGCACTCAACTTCTTTTTAATTCATTATTTGTAATTATTTGCATATTGTAAAATAAACTGAATATACTTAAATTTATTAAAATTTTAAAAAATTGAAAATAAAAAATCGTTATGTCAAGATTGTGTTGAAATCAAGACCCAAATAATTTTTAGCCGTAATTAAAACTAAAACTGACCAAAGTTGGAGCAATCCTAATTTTTCTTTTACAAGGATGCTAACGACCGGTTAACCGGTTCCACCATACAATACCTTCAATATATATATATATATATATATATTCTAAAATTAGCGAAGCGTGGTAAACAGGCACTTTATCTTGTTTTTGTTATATATAACAAAAAAATTTTAATCAAATCCGTAAATTTTTCAGATTTTTTACCAAAAATTCCACAAAGAATCTGGTTTTTCTATCTAAGCTACATTAACATATCGACAAGAAACTCTCGTTTCTTTTGGGATGTCAATTCTTAACCCCAGGACAAATATTTATTGTCCAGCTAAAATAAATAAATCTTTGCCGAGGAGTCGAGTTTGAACTCTTCAACTAAAGAATCCATCAAGATTTCATTATTATCATTTTTTTCAAATAAATAAACTTTTTTTTATTAATTAGATTTAGAAAATACACATTTATAGATATAGCACACTCTTTTTTTTTTTGGTTATATAAAAAGGAAAGAAGGGAAGGTGAGAAACATCTATTAAATTATGAGACAACATAGGTAAGATATCTAGACGAGTACGAAGAACATGAACACCAGAAGTATGACGCATGTTTTGAAAGCCCATAGGCACAAAAGTTAGCTTCACGATAAATGTGACGAACGTAAAGCGATATACCCATATGAATAGTAGGATATATATGTTAGGGTAATTGGGATTATGGGGTCATATGTAATAAATAGAGATATTAATGCTATTTCTTATTAAATTACTGCACTCTTCTTCTCCCCTTCTCTCTTCTCTTTGTTATCGATGAACTAACCCTAATCTGACTTAACTCTGGATTTATGTTAGCAAACCCTAACACACTGAAGTTTGGGTAAATTACCAAAGTATGTTAGCAAATTGAGTATTAAATTACCAAAGTATGTTAGCAAACCGTAATTAACAAATTATTAATACTCAAATTTGTTAATAATTTAATTATTTACATTTATCTCAAATTTATTTAAACTTCACTTATTTATCTCAAACTCACCAACATTATAGGATATTACCCAAATATGTGCAAATCAATTTGATTTTTATTTTATTTAATTAGTATTTTACGAAATAAATAATCTTTTCATAATTTTCATTGATAATTTATATTAATATAAAATTAATGAGCATAAAATTATTTTAAAACTCATTTTTTATTTTATAAAATAGTTTATTGTTCAATTTAATGAATAATGCTATAACTTATATAAAGAGGTGGATATCTAATATATTAAACACATACTCTAATAAAGTTCATTTAAGAAAATGAGAATAATTATGCATTTTATTCCAATATTATCTTTGCTTGAATGATAATAAAAAAATAAACAAAGTAGATTCTTCTAAAAATAAAAAAAATTAAAACAAACAAAAAATTGCTTAAATGGCTAAATTTTAAATGCAAAATATTATTTAATAAAAGATTTTAGGCTCCACCTATCAACTTCTTTATGAGGAATAACGAGTGGACCTGTTAAAAGTTGATTGCTTTGCTACCAATGACTCCACTAGATAATGGAAAAGAAATGAACAAATATAAAAAGAGCTTGGAAATTTCTTTTGCTAGAAATTTCAGCTGTTGAAAATGATTTTTGCTTCTCTCTATCTTTCCTTCTTCCTCAACTACCTAAGTATCTACCTTGCTGCATCCTACTCTCCACCTTCATACGTTCCTGATCTCAACTGTATACCTCTTGCTTGTGGTTTAACCAGCAATACAACATCAATGGATGGCCGAATCTGGCTTGCAGACGCCAATTCAAAATTCTTTCCCTCAGAGCAAGGCATTAATAACGCATCAATAGCAGTTGAATCTCCTAAAAATTTGGACACTTCAGCTCCATACACAGCTGCTCGAATTTCTCGCTCTCAATTTACCTACATGTTTCCTCTCAGTGTTGGAACTCTATTTATCCGCCTCCATTTTTATCCTGCTCCTTACTTGGATTTCAATACCTCTAAAGCATACTTTTCTGTCAAAACGGATAGCCATACTCTTCTTAGCAATTTTAGTTCTAAGGTTGTCGGGTTTGGCCAGTTTTTCAGAGAATTTTGGTTAGTCATAGAGGATGAGGAAATACTAAACTTAACATTCGCTCCGAGTCCTGGTATGGAAGATGCATTTGCTTTTATTAATGGGATTGAACTGATGTCCATACCCACCTATCTTTACGATACTCCAGCAGGTAACCCACGATTGAAATTTGTAGGCCAAAATAATCCTCTGGACCTTGTAAACAAGGCTGTCTTAGAGTTTAGGTTCAGAATAAATGTCGGGGGACGTTATATTTCACCCCCAGAAGATACAAAGCTGTGTCGAGTCTGGGAGAATGATGACGAGTACTTGACAATTGCAAAACCAAGTGCTATTATTGTGAACGCTAGTACCGTTCCACTCAGATACAGCATCTATACTCGTTTCGCTGCACCAGACTTGGTATATAAAACTTATAGATCAATGGGTACAGACAAATATGCAAATGAGAATTACAATCTCACTTGGGAATTTCAGGTTGATTCTGGATTCACTTATTTTGTTAGGCTTCATTTTTGTGAGTTTCAGCCGACAATAACTGAAGATGGAAACAGAGTTTTCCAGATATACATAGCCGGTCAACTTGCTGAGTCTGAAGCAGATATAATTTATTGGAGTGGTGGAAATCGAATTCCTGTTTTTCAAGATTATGCAGTGACTACGGTAACAAGAGGAAATGAAAAGGTGCAGAATTTATCTATTGCCTTGCATCCTGTCACAAATCTCACTGTTTACTCTGATGCAATTCTGAATGGGATTGAAATCTTCAAAATGATAGGTCCAGAAATTCATACAACATCCGCCTGGAAATCAAGAAAGCCCAAAAAAAAAACGATAACAAAAATTGCTGTGGTTGGTGCTACTATATTAACTTTTATTGTACTTCCTCTTTCATTCTTGTTAATTGTTGGAGTTCGAAGAAGATTAACAGATAAGAATTCTGGAAATATGTCTCCATGGGGCCCTAATTGCGCTGAGATTGATGGTCCATCTCTACCTTACAATCATAATCTTTGTCATCACTTTTCTGCAATTGAGATTAGAGAAGCTACCAACAACTTCGACAAATCATTCATTATAGGTGTTGGTGGGTTTGGGAATGTTTACAAAGGAACAATTAACAATGGGACTAAAACAGTTGCAATCAAACGGCTGAGCCCAGGTTCAGAACAGGGAGCAAATGAGTTCAAGACAGAGATTGAAATGCTTTCTCAACTTCGACACCATCATTTGGTTTCTCTAATCGGCTACTGCAATCAAGATAATGAAATGATTCTAGTCTATGATTACATGGCTCACGGTACCCTTCGCGATCATCTCTACAACACTACTAATCCTCCTCTTCCATGGAATCAAAGACTAGAGGTCTGCCTTGGCGCAGCACGTGGCCTTCATTACCTCCATTGCCTTCATTCAGGAACAAAAAATGCAATAATTCATCGAGATGTGAAGTCAACAAATATCTTAATAGATGAGAACTGGGTAGCGAAGGTTTCAGATTTTGGATTGTCAAAAATGCGCACAGCTAATAACTCTAGTAAGTCACATATCACTACAGTAGTAAAGGGTAGCTACGGGTACTTGGACCCTGAGTATTACAGACGCAAACAATTGACAGAGAAGTCTGATGTTTACTCATTTGGAGTGGTTCTTTTTGAAGCATTATGTGCTAGACCTGCTGTAGACCAAACTGTAGAAGATGATGATTACAATGAACAAGTCAGTTTAGCTGTTTGGGCCCGGAAATGTTATTGTGATGGAACTCTTTATCAGATAATCGATCCAATCCTGGTAGGGAAGATTGCACCAGAGTGTTTTAAAATATTTAGCGAGATTGCTGTGTGTTGTTTGTCTGATGAGAGGATCAAAAGGGCATCAATGAGTGATGTTGTCTCTGGCCTTGAACTTGCCTTAAAGCTACAAAGGAGTGCAGAAGATAAATTTGGAGTAGACTTTGACCTCGATCAGATTTCCCTTGATGTGTCTCCAAACATTTTATCTTTGCTTAAAATTAAAAACTCTACCATTGATGAGAACTGCAGCAAGTTTTCAATTGAAGAGAGCTGCAATAGCGATTCTGTTGAAATGACATTCTTGGGAGCACAAGAGAGACAAGGTGATTATGATGACTCATGTTCTTAAATGTGGTTATTTGGTGAAGTTAAGTGTTACACCTCCTTATTGTACCATATATTTTTAGAAAATCCATGTATTCCAATCAATTTCTTAATTTTTATGAAAAGATCATACGTTGTTATTAAATTGGAACGGAAAGAGTAAAACTTAATATGTAATCAGTACATTTTTTTAGTAATATTTAATAGTTGTTTATTATTTTAAAAATAATTATTGATTGTTGAACTCGTTTTGTGAATTTCTATAGACTTTAATTTATTAATAATCGGATTTGGTCTTTGTTTTAATTACTGGTCCTTAAACATAAAAGATAAAGATAGAGAGGAGTGGATGTGCAATGAGAGAAAATAGGAGAAAGGTGGGGCTTTACTTCAGCTTCTTATTAATTGCTGGGGAACGTATTGAATAAGTTGAAAGCACAAACAATAAATTAATTTCAATTTCTTTTTTCCAAGCATTTTCCTTTTATTTTCAAAGAACTGTCAATTTTGTGTTTATAATCAATCTTCTACCTGACAATGATTTTTCGCAAGTATACGAAAATCGCTACAAGTAATATAAAGTGAGTAGAGTATCGTGTCCACAGGGATTGTGTACCAAGTACCAAAACAATTTTGTGTTTATAAATCAATCTTCTACCTGACAATGATTTTTCGTAGCAAGTATACCGAAAATGCTACAAGTAATATTAAAGTGAGTAGAGTATCGTGTCACAGGGATTGTGTACCAAGTACAAATTATATTTATCCTATTAATTATTTAAAACGATAAATGAGGAATTGTTTTATAGAAATTAAATTCAGCAAAATAACAGAGAATAAGAAGAAGATCAAGCAACGCAATTATTGATTAAAGAAATCAAGGATTTAAAAACTACTAGGGGTTTTGATTTCACTTAATTCTTTCAATTATTTCATTAAGTTCATTCATCAATTTATTATTCAAGTAGGGACAACTCTTAATTCACTAACAAGCCTCTTTCCGATGTATTGCTAGCTATTGTTAGATTCATTGAATTACCTATCTTCCAATACGCAATCAATATGAAATAAAATCATTAAGTTATGTAGTTTGTTCTGAATTTTACAATTTAATGGTTGATAATATCATACCCCCCATGAGTCAAAACCATAAATAGCTTCCCGCAATCGAGTTATTATTCTTCATGTGTTTTATTTAACCTTTTCTTATCAAAGATCCTTCTTCTTCCGATAGTGGATAATGTGAAAATAAATCAATCTAGGGGAAAATTCTGCCTAGAAGCATTTAAGTCATCAAATAAAACATAACTTAATAAGGAAAAATAAATCTAATTGCATAAAATGGAAAAAGGATTTTAAGCTACATCAAACCCTAGTATAAGAATTTAATTACACATAGTACTTTACTAAACTCAACAAATACTTGATAAATTATTCCATAATCATAAAGAAATGAAAAAGAAATAACAAGAATTAAAGAGTTTTAGAAAATAAGAACTAGGTGATAGGTTAGCTTGGATGGCTTCCTTGAAATCTTGCACAACTCTTGAATACTTTGAAATTTTTGGGAAGAGAGGAAACTTTGTTACAAGAAAAATAGAATGAGAGAAATGACCCCTTACAATGAATTCCTCCTCTGTTTATATAGACCTTTTTTTCATGAGAGAGAATCCCAAATTCCTCCTCTCTTTATATAGACTTCATGTTTTAAGGGAATAAAGTTCTCCTTGTTTTAAGGGAATAAATTCTCCTTGTTTTAAGAGAATAAAATTCTCCTTGTTTTAAGAGAATAAAATTCTCCTTGTTTTAAGGGAATAAATTCTCCTTGTTTTAAGAGAATAAAATTCTCCTTGTTTTAAGAGAATAAAATTTCCATTAGACTTTAAATTTCTCTCAATCACGGTCCGAGCGTGCTAGAGTCTGTGTTTTCACTTGATTTTCCTTAAATCCAGCACGGGTGTGCTAACTAGCACCGGCAAGGCATGAGTGTGTTGCTTTATTTTACTCTTCTCTGTGCCAAAACCCTACAAATTACAAATTTCCTTAAGATTAAGTGCATCAATGATTTCAACGGGAGCTTTGAACAAAAAACATAAAATAAAAATTAATTAAAGTAATTAAACATACTACAAATCCTCATAAAAACTCCACATTAAAAATATTTATAAAAATAACAACCTATAAAATTCCCCAAACTTGTAAACCATTGGTTGTCCTCAAGCAACAACAACTAAAAATTTAGCTTATTATGGTATGGAATAATCATTCACAAAATTTCAATAAGTACCACCCAAAGTCCATTAACAATAAGAATAAATTCAAATGTGTTTTCTTATGCTAATCCATTTTCTAGCCAAAATTTAATTTTCAATAAAACACATTCCCTTAATTAAACATAAGTTAACAAGATTTTTATCATCAACAATTATTCAACTTATGACAGTTAGAATATGAATTTACAAAAATCATTTAACCTTTATATAAGATGTTTGAATACAAGTTTAACATTCCCATAGGGAAAATTAGTCATTTCTTCTCCACAATTTAAATGCATACAATTTAAAATATCAAAAGGTATTTATTTAGGTTGTAATGGGGTTTTAAGGATACATTTTCGACTAAACAAAGAAAAGGATAACATGGTAAACAAAAGTACAAAGAATGTTTAATATCAGGATTTTCATTTATGTTAAAAGTGAATTTTTATTTGTAAAGGGAGGTTACCTTTGAAGTCCTTTACCAGCCCTCTTACTAGCTTGAAATTAGAGTTATTTTTGGCAAGGTCTCTTCATAGCACTTTTGATATTTTCTTCCCTTGCTAAAGTCCCCAAACTTAAATCTTGATTACATTGCTTCTCCTTTATTTTAAGGGAAAAATTCTCCTTGTTTTAAGGGATAAATTCTCCTTGTTTAGGGGAATAATTCTCCCTTATTTCAAGGGAATAAATTCTCCTTTGTTTTAAGGGAATAAAGTCTCCTTGTTTTAAGGGAATAAACTTCTCCTTGTTTTAAGGGAATAGAAATTTTTTCATTAGACTTTACTAATTTGCTCTCAATCGCGAGTGTCGCGGGATAATGCCTCACGCACGTCTGTGTTCCGCTTCACTTGATTTCCTTAAATCGCCAGCACGGGTGTGCTAAACTAGCACCGGCAAGGCATGATGTACGTGTTTGCGTTTATTTTACTCATTCCTCTGTGCCAACCCTAACCAATTTCCCTTAAAGATTAAGTGCATCAATGAATTCAAGGGAGCTTGAAACAAAAAACAAATAAAATAAAAATTAATTAAGGTATTAAAAATACTACAAATCCTAATAAAACCACATTAAAAATTATTTATACAAAATAACACCTATAAACGCCCAACTTTAAACCATTGGTTGTCCCTCAAGCAACAAAACTAAAATATATTAGCATTATTAGAATAATCATTCACAATTTCAATAAGTATCCAAAGTCATTAACATAAGAATAAATCATGTGTTTCCTATGCTAATCATTTTCTAGCCAAAATTCAATTTTTAATAGAACACATTCCTTTAATTAAACTTGAGTTAACAAGATTTTTATCATCAACAATTATTTAATCTTATGACAATTAGAACATGAATTTATTGAAATCATTTAACCTTTAAATAAGATACAAGTTCAACACTCCCATAGGCAAAATTGGTCATCCCTTCTCCACAATTGAAATGCGTACAATTCAAATGATCAAAAGGTCTTTGTTTAGGTTGTAATGGGGTTTTAGGTATATAATCTTAGCTAAAGAAGAAAAGGATAATATGGTAGACAAAAGATACAAAGAATGCTTAATATCAGGATTTTCATTTATATTAAAAACAATTTTATATAAAAGTACAAATAATGTTTAATATCAGGATTTTCAACTTTATATTTAAAAACGAATTTTTATTTGTAAAGGGGAACTAGACTTTGAAGTCTCTTACTAGCTTGAAATTAGAGTTATTTTTGGCAAAGGTCTCTTCATAGCACTTTTGATATTTTCTCGCCTTGCTAAAGTTCCCCCAAAACTTAAATTCTTGATTAATTGCTTCTCTTTATGGGGTTTTTCTTTCTTTCTTTTTTTTTTTTTTTTTTTTTTTTTTGCATATATATATATGTATATTTTTCATTTGCTAGTACTAATGATATTGTCTCCCTTTGTTGCTATGTTTTAATAAAAATTAAATCCTTCAATTTCACATTATTGCACTTAAGGTAGAAAATAAATTTGGTTTAATAGCTAGGTTCAAATAAGGGTGAACAATAACTTTTGATATAGGCTTCAAATTAGTTGCAAGAGTCATATTTTATCTTAGGTGGTCTAGGCTAAATACGAAGTTTTAACAAAGAATGCCTTAATCATCTCTTTCTAAATGTAAGCATTTAAAATTTTTTTTTGTCTCGAAGAAAATTCTAATTTGTTCTAGGAATGCTAAGGTTAAATAATTTTTTATGAAAAACACATCTATTTATCATAAAATTCTCAAAAAGTTTATATCATAAAATTCAAAAAAAATGTAAACAAATGATTAAACCAAAGAAGCATGTTAAATTAAAAATTAAAATTCAAGCTGAAAAATAATTAACTTCGAAGAACAACTGATTTAATCAAAAGTTAATGAATTGAATAGAATTTTTAAACTTGCTCACAATTATTCCAACCTTATTTTATTAGTAAAACAAAATAAAATTAAAATAACAAAAGAAATTTAAAGTTTTATCTAAAACTTCTTCCCCCAACTTAGTTTAGCACATTGTCCTCAATGAGCTTTATGCAATTCCCCAAACTTATCATATTATCAATAAGGTAACAAAAGAGTAAGAAAGTGTAGTGATTATTACCATCATTGTATTGAAAAATACAATAGAGCCGGGTGTTGGAGTTTAGCAAAGCTATAAAGTTTAGCAAAGCTATAAAGTCACAAAAAAACTAAAAACAAAAAAAAAAGCACTATATAGATATCCATGAAAACTAAAAAGCAAACAATTAAATCAAAATCAAAAGAAAATAAAATGGGGTTTTGTCTCCCACAAGCCGCTTTTATTTAACGTCCGTTAAGCTCGACGTACTGGGAACCTGATTCAAGCTAATCCAAGACCTATAGGCAGTTTTACACGGGATCAAAGTTTCCACTTTGGTAAAACGCTTTAAACGTTGCGCATTAACTTGCGGAAAACTTCGGTCTACCATCTATTATCTCAAACTGCTCATGCGGGAAAATTTCTTTAATTGTGAATGGGCCAGACCATTTTGAGCGCAGCTTTCCTGGAAAAAGACGGAGTCTAGAGTTGTGAGTAATCCTGTTGGCCTACTCTTAGATTCCGTAGGATATAATGCTTATCATGCCTAATATGCTTATCATGCCATTGCTTGG